TCTCTTCTCTTCTCTTCTCTTCTCTTCTCTTCTCTTCTCTTCTCTTCTCTTCTCTTCTCTTCTCTTCTCTTCCATTTCATTCCTATTCCTATTCCTATTCCTATTCCTATTCCATCATTGATGTGCCTTAAAGAGATAGCTTCTTCTTTAATGAAACCTTCTCATAATTTGCACCTTGTGATAGCATGCATCCATGGGTATCCTCACATGGTGTCAAAAAAGTCAAGATTGCAGCCGTAAGCAGGATGTATAAAAAGAGACAGGGATTTGAGCACATGTTGTGTCTTCCCTGCTGATGCTTGTATGCACAGATACAAGATAGGCTTCTAATCTTGCATGCAGTGGCTCTTTCAGTCCTCATTGTTTACTACCTAAGAAAGGGTCTAAAAGAACTACTACTACTAGTAAAGAGTAGTATCTTTAAATATGTTCTTTTCATGCTTAAAACTTTTCATGCTTAAAATTGCTCATTTTAGAATGCAACACATGCGCGCGAAGCACATACCCAAAGAATCAGTAGTAAAATATTTTGAATTCCACCACTGACTTCATTCGTGTATAATGCTAAATTTTGATGCTTTTTAACATTGTAAACTGGGGTGACATATTTCAAACATAGAGTTAAGCCATAGTTGGCTGTTTTGCAAATCGTATTCAACCAAAAATAACCAAATCTTGTACAGCCTAGAAAGTAGCTAATAGGTAAGGAGACTCCTTCGTGTATGATTCAGGGTGGTGTTTTGGTGATTTATTTTTTCTTTCATAATTGAGCTAGATTTTATTTAAAGTATTACCTATTTCTTCAAGTATAAACTCACTTTTTATCTCATTTCCCTATTTCTCAGATTGCAGCAATGGTAGTGGCGATGTACCTTTATTGCAAAATGGATGAAAAATGACCGGAATAGGCAACGGAAAAGATTACCTTCCCACAAGCCAAGCCTATGACACAACACTTTCTTAACCTGTATCTACACCAATTAAACATTTCATGGGCCTGAAGCCTGAATGTATGATTAACCAGTTGACTCTACCTAGATGGAATCTTTAGCATGTACATAAAGATGTGAAAAGCAATGTGATAAGAAAACACTATTAACATAAAGGCCCTTTGTATTGAAAGCCAGAAATGCCGGGGGTGGGGGCAGCAAAAGTAAACCTGGAAATGTTTAGGCCTTCTAAAAATGGCCTTTATATATCCAATCTATGCAGTGTGAAGTTTTTTGCTAGCTTTGATATTGGTCACCCTGGGTTGTCGACAACCTCTCTAAGAATAAATGATCCAGAATGGAATAATTTGTTTGAAAAGTTTGGGATTGATTAATTGAAATTCCTGTGTATTACTAATGGGAAATCAACATTGTTTTTGTTCTTGACATAAAAAATAGATGAGCACATGTGGTCCACTGTTGGAGAAAAACATGGCTGTAAAAATTGACAGGAAAGGAAATGACTTTCTTTCTTTTGCCTTTCTATCCCCCACAGTATTGGTTGTATGCAACTTGCTAAGGACCGAAAGGGTGTCTGATTGAGCTGGCTGTATATGAAAGGAGTTCCCTTTGTAACTAATTTTATTGTACATGATGTAGTCCTCTATTTTTTTATTCTGTGTGAATACAGTTTAATTTATAATAATGTAACTGTCAAATCATATTATTTGCGCCTGGATTGGACTATTGTAATAAAATCTACTTTTTAATTACAACTTATGGCACTGGTTATCTTGCAGCAAAGAGACCCAATAGAAATAGGCAAGACTAGATATAACTGTGTGTGGGCATTTGACTTATTCCCTTTAGATTATTTCTGTCACTCCTGATACTTATGAATATTCCAGCTGATGGATAAAAGCCAAGTGTAAATAGCTAGCTCTGTAGGTAATCTTTTTTCCCCTTTTTTGAGAGAATAATAATCATTTGAGGATGCCACAGACTTAGAACTGATTTTATTTTTGGCAAAAAAAATAAATGGCAATTTTTATTTTATTTTATTTTTGAAATTGTATTAATTTTAAGACTGAGTAATAGTAAAATGAGAGTTTCAGTATAAATCTGATTAATAAAAAAGCCCACATTATATTCTAATTAAATTTAAAAAGTAATTAATAGAAGTTAATGTGAGCTCTTTCATTATACAGTTTTTAACATAGATCTCTTCCTTGCCTATATATTGTATTAACATTCAAGAAGCATCAGGGAGTAATTGTCAACATATTTCCTTTACGAGGATACAAGCATATCTGAAAAGTAGAATCACTGCTGGTCCCCAAGATGGTAATTGTAGCACAGCTGCGGGAATTATCTTCTACAGCCTCATTTATATGGAACCAAACAAATTCTGCAGAGTACCATCATTTCAGACAATAGCCAAAAAGCCATACAACGCAATGTTCTCTACAATAAACCAAAATGCCTTTTCCCCAAGAAAAAATAATTTCTTCATGAGTTATAATTATTATGGAACATTTCAAGAGTTTACATCATGATGAAACAATAGTAAATAAATATACAGTAAATTATATTAGGAATCAAAAAGCCCAAACATTTAGCATCCTTTCTATAAGGTAGATCATGGCAATGATGTATTGGTGTGAATGAAGGGAACAGTCCAGCTGAGCAGGCTTCTGTCAGCTACTTTCTTCCCTCTCATTTCATAGAGCTTTTCATTTGGTGGAAAAACAAAATCACTGAGAAAGTCGTTTTGTCATGCAAAAGATGTTGCCAATTTTTTACTGCACTGGGTTCACCGCACTGGATAATTTTTTACTGCACTGGGTTCATAAAGAGGAATGTAACATTAAGCTGCTGGGGCATATGAACTACTCCCTGGTCAAAGGCAATATGTATGAATTCCATTCTCTCTGTTAGACTGCCTTTCTCATAAACAAGAAGAGGTGAGAATATGTTAGGTATTCTGCTTAATTGTATATATGTATTTGTGTATGTGAGTGTGTACCAGGGGTGGGATTCAAAAATCCCAGCAACCGGTTCACTGCTCAGTTGCTGGGTGGGCATGGCCATGATGCGTGTGGCCTACCGGAACTTCCAGGAGGGCCATTTTTTGCCTTCCCAAGGCTCCAGAGGCTTCCCCCAGGCTCTGGAAGCTGAAAACAGGCCTGTTTCCGGACTTCCAGTACTTCCGGGAGGACCGTTTTTCACCTTCCCAAGGGTCCAGAGGCTTCCCTCAGGCTTCTGGGAGGGCGAAAATGGCCTCCCCCAGGCTCTGGAGCCTCTCCGGAAGCTGGAAACAGGCCCATTTCTGGACTTCTGGAAGGCCTGTTTTTCCCCCCGCTCCCAGAGCCTCTGCGTGAACCCTGCACTTACCTGCATTGAAAATGGGCCACGTGGAGACTCCTAGGAGCGGCAGGGTGGACGGGGCCAGCCAGTCGGTTCAAATACTGGTTCAGCAAACCATATGCAAATTTAACATACAGTTCACCTGAACTGGTCCAAACAGGTAGAATCTCACCCCTGGTGTACACACACACGTGTGTGTGTGTGTGTGTGTATAAAACACAGGTAGATCTTGGCTTACGACCACAACTGAACCCAGAGTTTATGTTGCCAAATCAGAAATTTGTTAAATGGGTTCTGCCCCATTGTACGACTTTTCTTGCCCCGTTTGTTAAGTGAATCACTGCAGTTGTTAAATTAGTAACATGGTTGTTCAGTGAACCTGGCTTCTCCATTGATTTTGCTTGTCAGAAAGTCACAAAAGATAATCACATGACCCCAGGACACTGCAACCGTCATAAATATGAACCAGTTGTCAAGTATTCAGATGTAAATCACATGACCCTGGGGATGTTGCAGCAGTCATACGTGTTGAAAATTGTCAGAAGTCACTTTTTTCAGTGCCGCTGTAACTTTGAATGGTCATTAAATGAACTGTTGTAAGTCGAGGATTACCCGTATAAATTTTGACTGATCACAGAAAGAAAGGTGTAAAGTGAGCGAAGGCACAACAGGAATCTGACAAACTAACACTACAGCAGTATTCTGAAGAGTTGGTTTTCTGCAAAAGCAGTAATATCCATTTTTTTTTACTCCCTGTAAAATAATACGTTGAGATGCTTATTCTATCTGTACATGTAAGAAACACGGAAGAATTGTTACCCTAATCAAAACTATTTTCACAACAAGCAGTGCAGGGGAAAAAAAAAACCAAGGCTGAGCTTAAGGACAAAGGTCACTCTGGTTTTACAATCGCTCCACTTCTGAAATTACTTCGAATACAGGAGGGGAATTTAATCTGTTTTATCCTTTGATGCAAACATCAGAGGTGTCCACAAACAGTATTTTTCTAAAGATCGCAATATTTCTTTCTTGCTATTAATACTAAGAAGGATTTTGGATTTAAAGCATGCATTCCCATAAAATGCTTTCTTAACATCACTGAGTTCTCGTATCCTATTAGCTAAATCAACACCTTTGTGCTTGTATGCCTGTGACTTAGGCTGGTGATCTTCTACACCAGGGGTGTCCAACCTTGGCAACTTTAAGACTTGTGGACTTCAACTCCCAGAATTCCTCAGCCAGCAAAGCTGGCTGAGGAATTCTGGGAGTTGAAGTCCACAAGTCTTAAAG